AGGCCGTCTTCTCGAAACATTCGTCCTCTCTTCTTCCCAGTCTCTTCTTAATTCTGGTGACCCCCACTCATATGGACTCTCGAACTCGCACCCTTTCCTGCCTTGATCTTTCTCTCTGCTTGTCGTCACTTTACTTAGATTTGACGTGGCGGGTTCTTGATGACCTCAATAAGCAACCATTTCCTCATTATTGTTATCTTTTTCTCTTTTCACCCTCCCCTCTCCTTCCCTAGGTGGCAGTTTGACAAGGCTGACTGGAACCTATTCATTCTCCGTGCTACTCTCTCCAACATCTCCACTTTGCCTCTCCCTCGTGCCCTCCTCCTTTTTCATGACACTGTCCTCGACACTGCCCTTCGCTCTATTCCTCGCTCTACCTCCTGAGGCTTGCAGAAGTGCGCTCCGTGGAGGAATGTGGACTGTGCTCAGGCTGTCCGCTGTAAGTGTGCAGCCTGGAAGAAACACCGGCACAGGCAGATGGCTGATTCTTTTATTTTGATTCGGAAGGAAAGTGCGGTGGCCCGTAGGACCATCCATACAGCTAAACGTGAGAGTTGGAAACTTTATGTTTCCATCATTACGTCCGATACCCCTCTGCAGAAGATCTGGAAAAAACGCAAGGTAGCGTGTTACAACCCTGGGTTCGTAATTGGCTCTCCCAGGAAACCAGGATCAAATACGGTTCTTTTATATTCATGCAGGGATCAGTCAATTAAGTATTTTGGTAGTGATAGGCCCTGACTCTTAGAGATTTTGTGTGGGTTCTTGATTAAGTAAATATTAGAACATTAATTGATAGGTTAGGTTAGGTAAGAGGGATTGTAATTCATTGTAATTATTGTAATTATTGTAATTATTGTAATTATTGTGTCCCTTGTCAACTTATTGGGAATCCAAACTAGACACCACCTAATTAACAGTATAACTTATATTCAGGGAACCTGGTCCTTGCTTTGTGTGTGTTTCCGTCTTCCCTGCCAGATGTAGAAATATCCTTGTTGCTCACAGAGCGGGCAAACTCTGTGTTAATTGAATATTAATATTATATAAAGCTAGATATCAGCTATACTTATAACTGTTAAAGTAGCAAGTAAAGGGTTGTCTTGGAAGACTTGTAAGGATTGTTACTGTACGATCAGTTGAGTATCCTTGAGGCAACGATCATGGAGGAGCTAAGAGGATTTATGTTCTCTTTTCTGCCGGGTTCTGGCACACGAAGGTCATGTGCCCTGAGGCTGTTTACTTACCACTTTCTTATCCTCCTTTCTTCTCTCTCCTTATTCTGTGTTTACCAAGTTAAGTACCATCCTGTTGATTACTGTGCCACTATAGTTTTAAGGTATGTGTTTGTGTCCTCTAAGCCAGTGTTTTGAGCTCCAAGCGTTAACTCTGGGGTGGCTAGAGAGACCACGTCTGCATATGTTTACAGTGATACCAGTGTGTGTTCTGTCCCTTCAGGAAAGTAGACCTTACCACTAGTGTGCTGTTGGGACATCAAGGTATTAAAATTACCTACCATAAAATCTGTAAACATTTCTACTGTCCCAAGCTGAAAAGCGATGTGGCAAAACATTGTAATTCTTGTGTCCCTTGTCAACTTATTGGGAATCCAAACTAGACACCACCTAAAGCTCCTCTAGGGCCTATTGTAGTACAGGAGGAACCATTTTCTCATGTGGTAATGGACTGTGTTGGTCCATTACCTAGAACTAAGGCTGGTAACATTTTCTTGATAAGCATGATGTGTATCACGACCCGTTACCCCTGAGGCTTTTGCTGTATAGAACATCTAAGCAAAAACTGTTGTTGCTCGTATGTTGCAATTTTTCTCGACTTTTGAAGTGCCTTGAGTTGTTCAAACTGACAATGGCTCTAACTTTAAGTCTGATACTTTTGAGCAATTCTCTAAAGACAAAAGAATAACTCATAAGGTTTCTAGCCCATATCATCCACAGTGTCATAGGGTAATTGAGCGGTTCCATCAGACTTTGAAACAAATGCTTATGACATCGTGTGAAAATTCTAACAGGGCTTGGGATGAGAACTTGCCAAATATTTGTTTGCTGCTCGAGAGGGGTTACAGAGTTCACTGGGTTGTTCTCCTTTTGAGTTAGAATTCAGCCATAAGGTCTGTGAACCCTTATAATTGTTACAGGAGAATGTGTTAGGTAACATAACATTGACTGAAAGTTCAGCTTTTTTTGTGCAACACCACTAGAGACTCAGTGAATGTAAGACGGCTGCATTAAAATATCTCGGGAAGACCCAAGATAGCATGAAGGAACGACACGTTGCTAAGGCTAAGTTGAGGGTATTTCAGCCTGGTTACCCTGTCCTGGTATTAAAGCCTTGATTAGGGAACACTATGTGTCACAAGTACGAAGGCCCCTGTATAGTGGCAAAAATGGTTGGGCACTTCAGGTACAAAGTAAGGCACTCGAACAAACGTAACCAGATGATGCTTGTGCGCTTGAACCGTCTGAAGAGATTCCAGGGGCCCCATGCCAATCGCTCTAACCAATATTTCCTTTTCCAGTGAGAGAGGGGATAATTATTCTGGGGACCATAACTAATCCTATTTTCAATCATTTTAGTTCTGTGAATGTTGTGGGGAAGAGGCTGTCCCATTTGCAGATGTTCCAGCGTGAAGAGATGCAGTTGTTACTTGACGAGTTCTCCAGCCTGTTCCGGGAGGTCCCAACACAGACTGACACCATCTACCATGATGTCAAGTTGATGGACTACACCCCTATTTGTCTTCAACCCTGCAGGGTGAGTCCAGAAAAGATGGCTATCGTCCGGCAAGAAATCGACTTACTGCTCCAGCATGGCCTTATCCTGCTGAGCCAGGGCTCTAGGTGATCCCCCCTGCCTTTTGATTCCCAAACCAGACGGCTCCTGGAGCATGTTCACCGACTACAGGCAACTCATCAAGGTGACCATAGTGGATGCCTACTCACTGCCCTTCCTAGAGGACTGCATCAATGAAATCAGTAATGCCACTTATCTGTCGAAGTTCGATCTCTCGAGAGGATACTACCAGATCCCACTCACAGAACGTGCCAAACAACTAACCGTGTTCGTTACATCCAATGGTGTTTTTGAGTACCAGGTGCTACCTTACGGACTGAGGAATGCTCCCGCAACGTTCCAGCGGCTAATGAACTCTCCTCTGGCAAATGTGCCAAATTGTAGGGCATAATTAGATGACATTGTGCTCTTAGATAGTAATTGGGCTGACCACATAGCTAGGTTACACCAGTTGTTCACAGTTTTGAAATCTGCAAATTTGACGTTAAATTACTTTTTTTTTTTTTTTTTGGCCAAAGCACAGTGACATACCTCAGTTATGAAGTGGACCAAGGAAAAGTGTTACCTCGGCAAGATAAAATCAGTGCCATTTTGGCGTCCTATCTCTCCAGGACCACCGTGATCGCTACTGTCTTCACTACCTTGCACGGTCCTTACAACATCCTCACTCTCGCCTATGTCGTGCTTTGACTTTTAAACCTCCAGTAGTTCCTGTTCTTCTTCACCACCTTATTCTTTCTGTCTGGTTGTCTCGCCGGTAAAATTCTCTTTCGGTTCATATTGTCAATATTTCTCCTCGTGTTGTTCCGTCCTTCCACCCATGGAGGGTCCCCCTTCCTAAATTTTGAAGATTCCTGACCCGCATCACTAAAGCTTTTACCCCTCCTACAGTTCTGAAACTCCTTTTCCTTGAACACTTTTCTTCGCACTCCCGCTCCAATTCCATCTTCACCGATGGGTCTAAGTCTGCAGACAATGTAGGCTACGCTGTTGTTTATCCTTGCCACACCTTTATGTGTTGCCTGCCACCAGAGACCAGCATCTTCACGGCAGAACTTTATGCTATTCTCTATGCTCTTTGTCTACTGCTTTCTCGCTGTTAATCCTCCTTTGTGGCTGTTGTTGACTCTCCAGTGCCCTGATAGCTCTGGAGTCCTTTAATCCAGTCCATCCGGTGGTAGTCGAGATTCAACATTGGCTGTTTCTTATTTGCAGTAGATTTAAGACAGTAGAGCTTTGCTCGGTTCCCAGCCATATTAGTGTCCCTGAGATTATTTGAGAATGTTGAACATTCGTTGCATAATACGTTGTGTATTTTTTTTCTCCTTCTCTGTTTAGGGTGTGATGGTGAAACTTGGACCAGTTGCAGCCCTTTCTATAACCATTTCATACATAAATTTATAAGCAAATTGAACCACTTTTAATTTACATGAATTTAAATGAATATGCCCCCTTAAATGAGTGTGAGGACGCTGCCACTAAGGAAGCTATCCGCACTTGTCCCATCTGCCGTAAAGGTATTCCTTATTCTGATTTTTACCCAGTTATTCATTCCTCCATCCTTGCCAGTTGGCAGGGTTGTTGGTCTTCTGTTACTGGTAACAAACTGGGTACTCTTAAGAGTAGTGTGTCCTCATGGCCTTCCTCTTACTACCGTAAACGGCGATGGGAAACGGCTATAGCGAGGTTGTGTATTGACCATACACGCTTAACTCATGGACACTTAATGGAGCACCGCCCTGCTCCTTATTGTCTAAACTGCATTGTCCCTCTTACATTCATGCGTATTCTTGTAGAATGTTCCGACTTCCAGGATGAGCGTGTGTCGTGTTTTCCGACCGTCTGTTGCGGTGACTTGTCCCTCGATAGAATTATTGGTGATTCGGATACTTTTGATATCGTTCGCCTTATGCATTTCTGCTTTCATATTGGCATCCTTGGTGATATTTAACGCCCTGTGATTATTCCGCACATTTGATGGTGCTACATAGCCTTCCCGGCTTGGTGCCTTCTATGGATAATTACTTACATATGTTCTGTCAAGAAGATCGAACCTGAGATCTTCTTTTAAGCTGACGACGTAGCCCATTGCGCTACAGGGCCCTATATGTGTGTGTGTGTGTGAGGGGGAGAAGTGTAGTGAAAAAACAAAGGAACTAACAAAGCAATCTTGTGCACACTTTATTTATACATGGTTTATAAATACATTGATCAATAAAATTCACAAGAGCCCTAATTTCACACAAAAATGTATAGTTTTATACATTATACAACATACAGGAAAGAATATTTATGTACACAATAAGATGGTCGACTGATCAGCTGATACTTGTTTACTTTTTAGGTTATAAACATTGACACGTGGGTATGGGAGAGGATGTGTGTGGGTAATTGACACGTGGTAAATGATTAAACGATGCACTAAAAGGCTGTGGATGCTGAAGACGACTCGAGGGATGCTGTAGTCAACTCAGGGATGCTGAAGACGACACAGGGATGCTATACATGAATCAGGGCTGCTGTCGACAACTTCGGGATGCTGTAGACGACTCAGAGATGATGTAGACGACTCAGAGATGATGTAGAAGATTCAGGTATGTTGGAGCCCATTCAGGGATGTTGAAGGATCCCCAGGAAAGGCAGAACCAAGATCAGACCAGCGACGATCAGAGCTGGTCTCACACCTGGGTGAGGAGGAGAGTCAGGTTAGTACACACCTGGGTGAGGAGGAGAGTCAGGTTAGTACACACCTGCGTGAGGAGGAGAGTCAGGTTAGTACACACTTGCATGAGGAGAGTCAGGTTAGTACACACCTGCATGAGGAGGAGAGTCAGGTTAGTACACACCTGCATGAGGAGGAGAGTCAGGTTAGTACACACCTGCATGAGGAGGAGAGTCAGGTTAGTACACACCTGCATGAGGAGGAGAGTCAGGTTAGTACACACTTGCATGAGGAGGAGAGTCAGGTTAGTACACACTTGCATGAGGAGGAGAGTCAGGTTAGTACACACTTGCATGAGGAGGAGAGTCAGGTTAGTACACACTTGCATGAGGAGGAGAGTCAGGTTAGTACACACTTGCATGAGGAGGAGAGTCAGGTTAGTACACACTTGCATGAGGAGGAGAGTCAGGTTAGTACACACCTGCATGAGGAGGAGAGTCAGGTTAGTACACACTTGCATGAGGAGGAGAGTCAGGTTAGTACACACTTGCATGAGGAGGAGAGTCAGGTTAGTACACACTTGCATGAGGAGGAGAGTCAGGTTAGTACACACCTGCATGAGGAGGAGAGTCAGGTTAGTACACACTTGCATGAGGAGGAGAGTCAGGTTAGTACACACTTGCATGAGGAGGAGAGTCAGGTTAGTACACACTTGCATGAGGAGGAGAGTCAGGTTAGTACACACTTGCATGAGGAGGAGAGTCAGGTTAGTACACACTTGCATGAGGAGGAGAGTCAGGTTAGTACACACTTGCATGAGGAGGAGAGTCAGGTTAGTACACACCTGCATGAGGAGGAGAGTCAGGTTAGTACACACTTGCATGAGGAGGAGAGTCAGGTTAGTACACACTTGCATGAGGAGGAGAGTCAGGTTAGTACACACTTGCATGAGGAGGAGAGTCAGGTTAGTACACACCTGCATGAGGAGGAGAGTCAGGTTAGTACACACCTGCATGAGGAGGAGAGTCAGGTTAGTACACACCTGCATGAGGAGGAGAGTCAGGTTAGTACACACTTGCATGAGGAGGAGAGTCAGGTTAGAACACACCTGCATGAGGAGGAGAGTCAGGTTAGTACACACTTGCATGAGGAGGAGAGTCAGGTTAGTACACACTTGCATGAGGAGGAGAGTCAGGTTAGTACACACCTGCATGAGGAGGGGAATCAGGTTAGTACACACCTGCGTGAGGAGGAGAGTCAGGTTAGTACACACCTGCGTGAGGAGGAGAGTCAGGTTAGTACACACCTGCATGAGGAGGAGAGTCAGGTTAGTACACACCTGCATGAGGAGGAGAGTCAGGTTAGTACACACCTGCATGAGGAGGAGAGTCAGGTTAGTACACACCTGCATGAGGAGGAGAGTCAGGTTAGTACACACTTGCATGAGGAGGAGAGTCAGGTTAGTACACACTTGCATGAGGAGGAGAGTCAGGTTAGTACACACCTGCATGAGGAGGAGAGTCAGGTTAGTACACACTTGCATGAGGAGGAGAGTCAGGTTAGTACACACTTGCATGAGGAGGAGAGTCAGGTTAGTACACACCTGCATGAGGAGGAGAGTCAGGTTAGTACACACTTGCATGAGGAGGAGAGTCAGGTTAGTACACACTTGCATGAGGAGGAGAGTCAGGTTAGTACTGAGGAGGAGAGTCAGGTTAGTACACACCTGCATGAGGAGGAGAGTCAGGTTAGTACACACTTGCATGAGGAGGAGAGTCAGGTTAGTACACACTTGCATGAGGAGGAGAGTCAGGTTAGTACACACCTGCATGAGGAGGAGAGTCAGTTTAGTACACACTTGCATGAGGAGGAGAGTCAGGTTAGTACACACTTGCATGAGGAGGAGAGTCAGGTTAGTACACACCTGCATGAGGAGGAGAGTCAGGTTAGTACACACCTGCATGAGGAGGAGAGTCAGGTTAGTACACACCTGCATGAGGAGGAGAGTCAGGTTAGTACACACCTGCATGAGGAGGAGAGTCAGGTTAGTACACACTTGCATGAGGAGGAGAGTCAGGTTAGTACACACCTGCATGAGGAGGAGAGTCAGTTTAGTACACACTTGCATGAGGAGGAGAGTCAGGTTAGTACACACTTGCATGAGGAGGAGAGTCAGGTTAGTACACACCTGCATGAGGAGGAGAGTCAGGTTAGTACACACCTGCATGAGGAGCAAAGTCAGGTCAGCACACACCCGAGTTGACCAATCTACTAAACATCAGTAATCCTTAAACTTATACATTAAATTATCTTAAAGTATCTTTGTATTTCCACCTCGACGATTGGTTCTACCCAACTACTATGTAGCCCCACCACCCAGGACAGAGGCAGGGTAGCCCCCTGACCCACCTGTAGCCCCACCACCCAGGACAGAGGTGGGGTAGCCCCAGACCCACCTGTAGCCCCACCACCCAGGACAGAGGTGGGGTAGCCCCCTGACCCACCTGTAGCCCCACCACCCAGGACAGAGGTGGGGTAGCCCCAGACCCACCTGTAGCCCCACCACCCAGGACAGAGGTGGGGTAGCCCCAGACCCACCTGTAGCCCCACCACCCAGGACAGAGGTGGGGTAGCCCCCTGACCCACCTGTAGCCCCACCACCCAGGACAGAGGTGGGGTAGCCCCTGACCCACCTGTAGCCCCACCACCCAGGACAGAGGTGGGGTAGCCCCCTGACCCACCTGTAGCCCCACTACCCAGGACAGAGGTGGGGTAGCCCCAGACCCACCTGTAGCCCCACCACCTAGGATAGTGGCGGGGTAGCCCCTGACCCACCTGTAGCCCCACCACCCAGGACAGAGGTGGGGTAGCCCCTGACCCACCTGTAGCCCCACCACCCAGGACAGAGGCAGGGTAGCCCCCTGACCCACCTGTAGCCCCACCACCCAGGACAGAGGTGGGGTAGCCCCAGACCCACCTGTAGCCCCACCACCCAGGACAGAGGCGGGGTAGCCCCCTGACCCACCTGTAGCCCCACCACCCAGGACAGAGGTGGGGTAGCCCCCTGACCCACCTGTAGCCCCACTACCCAGGACAGAGGTGGGGTAGCCCCTGACCCACCTGTAGCCCCACCACCCAGGACAGAGGTGGGGTAGCCCCCTGACCCACCTGTAGCCCCACTACCCAGGACAGAGGTGGGGTAGCCCCTGACCCACCTGTAGCCCCACCACCCAGGACAGAGGTGGGGTAGCCCCTGACCCACCTGTAGCCCCACCACCTAGGACAGAGGTGGGGTAGCCCCTGACCCACCTGTAGCCCCACTACCCAGGACAGAGGTGGGGTAGCCCCTGACCCACCTGTAGCCCCACGACCCAGGACAGAGGCGGGGGTAGCCCCTGACCCACCTGTAGCCCCACCACCTAGGACAGAGGTGGGGTAGCCCCAGACCCACCTGTAGCCCCACCACCTAGGATAGTGGCGGGGTAGCCCCAGACCCACCTGTAGCCCCACCACCCAGGACAGAGGCCGGGTAGCCCCAGACCCACCTGTAGCCCCACCACCCACGACCGAGGCAGGGTAGCCCCAGACCCACCTGTAGCCCCACCACCCGGGACAGAAGCCGGGTAGCCCCTGACCCACCTGTAGCCCCATCACCCGGGACAGAAGCCGGGTAGCCCCAGACCCACCTGTAGCCCCACCACCCAGGACGGAGGCGGGGTAGCCCCAGACCCACCTGTAGCCCCACCACCCAGGACAGAGGCCGGGTAGCCCCTGACCCACCTGTAGCCCCACCACCCGGGACAGAAGCCGGGTAGCCCCTGACCCACCTGTAGCCCCACCACCCGGGACAGAAGCCGGGTAGCCCCTGACCCACCTGTAGCCCCATCACCCGGGACAGAGGCCGAGTAGCCCCAGACCCACCTGTAGCCCCACCACCCAGGACGGAGGCCGGGTAGCCCCAGACCCACCTGTAGCCCCACCACCCAGGACAGAGGCCGGGTAGCCCCAGACTCACCTGTAGCCCCACCACCCAGGACAGAAGCCGGGTAGCCCCAGACCCACCTGTAGCCCCACCACCCAGGACGGAGGCCGAGTAGCCCCAGACCCACCTGTAGCCCCACCACCCAGGACGGAGGCCGGGTAGCCCCAGACTCACCTGTAGCCCCACCACCCAGGACAGAAGCCGGGTAGGCCCAGACTCACCTGTAGCCCCACCACCCAAGACGGAGGCCGGGTAGCCCCAGACCCACCTTTAGCCCCACCACCCAGGACAGAGGCAGGGTAGCCCCAGACCCACCTGTAGCCCCACCACCCAGGACAGAAGCCGGGTAGCCCCAGACTCACCTGTAGCCCCACCACCCAGGACGGAGGCCGGGTACGGGGGCATGGTGGAGAGGACAGCCTGGGTCTCCTTCTGGTATACGCCTGGCAGCTCCGCAAGGCACCGCACCCACACCTCGCCGCCCCGCAGCAGGCGCGGCAGGAGGGAGAACCGCAGCCGCAGGGAGCTGGTGATCAGCTCCCCAGCCTCTCCCACGTCCGCTTGCGGCTCCAGCCACCCTGGCGACGCCTGCGGCAGGTTGTTGCGGACGTTTAGTATCATACAAGCAATGAAGAAATGTATAACAAGGAATCAGTGGTTGTATGACAGAGAATAGTTAGACATATAGACTTGTCTATATAGACGTGTCTATATAGACAGTATATAGACAAGCACTTAACTGTATAACGAGAGAGGGGGTAGTTAACTGTATAACGAGAGAGGGGGTAGTTAACTGTATAACGAGAGAGGGGGTAGTTAACTGTATAATGAGAGAGGGGGTAGTTAACTGTATAACGAGAGAGGGGGTAGTTAACTGTATAACGAGAGAGGGGGTAGTTAACTGTATAACGAGAGAGGGGGTAGTTAACTGTATAATGAGAGAGGGGGTAGTTAACTGTATAACGAGAGAGGGGGGGTAGTTTACTGTATAACGAGAGAGAGGGTAGTTAACTGTATAACGAGAGAGGGGGTAGTTTACTGTATAACGAGAGAGGGGGTAGTTAACTGTATAACGAGAGAGGGGGTAGTTAACTGTATAACGAGAGAGAGGGGGTAGTTTACTGTATAACGAGAGAGGGGGTAGTTAACTGTATAACGAGAGAGGGGGTAGTTAACTGTATAACGAGAGAGAGGGGGTAGTTTACTGTATAACGAGAGAGGGGGTAGTTAACTGTATAACGAGAGAGGGGGTAGTTAACTGTATAACGAGAGAGGGGGTAGTTAACTGTATAACGAGAGAGGGGGTAGTTTACTGTATAACGAGAGAGGGGGTAGTTAACTGTATAACGAGAGAGGGGGTAGTTAACTGTATAACGAGAGAGGGGGTAGTTTACTGTATAACGAGAGAGGGGGTAGTTTACTGTATAACGAGAGAGGGGGTAGTTTACTGTATAACGAGAGAGGGGGTAGTTAACTGTATAACGAGAGAGGGGGTAGTTAACTGTATAACGAGAGAGAGGGGGTAGTTTACTGTATAACGAGAGAGGGGGTAGTTAACTGTATAACGAGAGAGGGGGTAGTTAACTGTATAACGAGAGAGAGGGGGTAGTTAACTGTATAACGAGAGAGGGGGTAGTTAACTGTATAACGAGAGAGGGGGGGTAGTTAACTGTATAACGAGAGAGGGGGTAGTTAACTGTATAACGAGAAAAGGGTAGTTAAGTGTCGTCAAACAATCAAGGGGTGTCAGTGGACTGTCAATTGCTGCGGCGTATAAGAGTGGGGAGGGAGAGATGGAAGGGAGGGAGGGGAGGGAGAGAGAGTGGGGGAGCTCACCGGCTGACTGTTGACTGTGAAGGAGAGGTGGGGGGCAGGTCTGGCCCTGTGGGAGGTGCACAACAGGTCAACACCCTCCCCCGCCAGGTACTGTCGCCTCACACCTGTAATTACCGGGCCCTCGTCAGGCAGGTCTGCAGGGAGAGAGGTGAGAAGTGAGGGTGGATGAGGCACACCGTTGAGGCACACCGTTGAGGCACACCGTTGAGTGAGAGAAGGTGGTGAGAGGAGACTGGGGGAGGGAGGGAGGGAGCAGGGAGAGGGTGGGAGAAAGTAGGGAGGGAGAGGGTGGGAGAGAGTAGGGAGGGAGAGGGTGGGAGAGAGTGGGGAGGGAGAGGGTGGGAGAGAGTGGGGAGGGAGAGGGTGGGAGAGAGTGGGGAGGGAGAGGGTGGAAGAGAGTAGGGAGGGAGAGGGTGGGAGAGAGTGGGGAGGGGAGAGGGTGGGAGAGAGTGGGGAGGGAGAGGGTGGGAGAGAGTGGGGAGGGAGAGGGTGGGAGAGAGTGGGGAGGGAGAATACAAAGGTAGTGAAAGTGGGTAAGAGACAATACATAAACATCAACAGTCATCAGACAGTTAAGACGCCATCAATGTCAATATCAACAAATATTTTTAAAAAATTTACTTTCAATTAAACATTTATCAAGCAGTAATGATAAAGTCTACTCATTAAGGCTTCAGTAACTTATGAACATTTATTCCAGACCACCTGTACACTTGGGTAACTGTTCCAGACCACCTGTACACTTGGGTAACTGTTCCAGACCACCTGTGCTCTTGGGTAACTGTTCCAGACCACCTGTGCACTTGGGTAACTGTTCCAGACCACCTGTACACTTGGGTAACTGTTCCAGACCACCTGTGCACTTGGGTAACTGTTCCAGACCACCTGTACACTTGGGTAACTGTTCCAGACCACCTGTGCACTTGGGTAACTGTTCCAGACCACCTGTACACTTGGGTAACTGTTCCAGACCACCTGTGCACTTGGGTAACTGTTCCAGACCACCTGTACACTTGGGTAACTGTTCCAGACCACCTGTACACTTGGGTAACTGTTCCAGACCACCTGTGCACTTGGGTAACTGTTCCAGACCACCTGTGCACTTGGGTAACTGTTCCAGACCACCTGTGCACTTGGGTAACTGTTCCAGACCACCTGTACACTTGGGTAACTGTTCCAGACCACCTGTGCACTTGGGTAACTGTTCCAGACCACCTGTACACTTGGGTAACTGTTCCAGACCACCTGTGCTCTTGGGTAACTGTTCCAGACCACCTGTGCTCTTGGGTAACTGTTCCAGACCACCTGTGCTCTTGGGTAACTGTTCCAGACCTCCTGTACACTTGGGTAACTGTTCCAGAGCACCTGTGCACTTGGGTAACTGTTCCAGACCACCTGTGCTCTTGGGTAACTGTTCCAGACCACCTGTGCTCTTGGGTAACTGTTCCAGACCACCTGTGCACTTGCGTAACTGTTCCAGACCACCTGTGCTCTTGGGTAACTGTTCCAGACCACCTGTGCTCTTGGGTAACTGTTCCAGACCACCTGTGCTCTTGGGTAACTGTTCCAGACCACCTGTGCACTTGGGTAACTGTTCCAGACCACCTGTATACTTGGGTAACTGTTCTAGACCACCTGTACACTTGGGTAACTGTTCCAGACCACCTGTACACTTGGGTAACTGTTCCAGACCACCTGTGCACTTGGGTAACTGTTCCAGACCTCCTGTGCACTTGGGTAACTGTTCCAGACCACCTGTGCTCTTGGGTAACTGTTCCAGACCACCTGTGCACTTGGGTAACTGTTCCAGACCACCTGTGCTCTTGGGTAACTGTTAAAGACCACCTGTACACTTGGGTAAGTGTTCCAGACCACCTGTGCTCTTGGGTAACTGTTCCAGACCTCCTGTACACTTGGGTAACTGTTCCAGACCACCTGTGCACTTGGGTAACTGTTCCAGACCACCTGTGCTCTTGGGTAACTGTTCCAGACCACCTGTGCTCTTGGGTAACTGTTCCAGACCACCTGTGCTCTTGGGTAACTGTTCCAGACCACCTGTGCACTTGGGTAACTGTTCCAGACCACCTGTGCTCTTGGGTAACTGTTCCAGACCACCTGTGCTCTTGGGTAACTGTTCCAGACCACCTGTGCTCTTGGGTAACTGTTCCAGACCACCTGTGCTCTTGGGTAACTGTTCCAGACCACCTGTGCTCTTGGGTAACTGTTCCAGACCACCTGTGCACTTGGGTAACTGTTCCAGACCCCCTGTGCTCTTGGGTAACTGTTCCAGACCTCCTGTACACTTGGGTAACTGTTCCAGACCTCCTGTACACTTGGGTAACTGTTCCAGACCTCCTGTACACTTGGGTAACTGTTCCAGACCACCTGTGCTCTTGGGTAACTGTTCCAAACCACCTATGCACTTGGGTAACTGTTCCAGACCTCCTGTACACTTGGGTAACTGTTCCAGACCTCCTGTACACTTGGGTAACTGTTCCAGACCACCTGTGCACTTGGGTAACTGTTCCAGACCACCTGTACACTTGGTAACTGTTCCAGACCACCTGTGCACTTGGGTAACTGTTCCAGACCTCCTGTACACTTGGGTAACTGTTCCAGACCACCTGTGCACTTGGGTAACTGTTCCAGACCACCTGTGCACTTGGGTAACTGTTCCAGACCTCCTGTACACTTGGGTAACTGTTCCAGACCACCTGTGCTCTTGGGTAACTGTTCCAGACCACCTGTGCACTTGGGTAACTGTTCCAGACCACCTGTGCTCTTGGGTAACTGTTAAAGACCACCTGTACACTTGGGTAACTGTTCCAGACCACCTGTGCTCTCGGGTAACTGTTCCAGACCTCCTGTACACTTGGGTAACTGTTCCAGACCACCTGTGCACTTGGGTAACTGTTCCAGACCACCTGTGCTCTTGGGTAACTGTTCCAGACCACCTGTGCTCTTGGGTAACTGTTCCAGACCACCTGTGCTCTTGGGTAACTGTTCCAGACCACCTGTGCTCATGGGTAACTGTTCCAGACCACCTGTGCTCTTGGGTAACTGTTCCAGACCACCTGTGCTCTTGGGTAACTGTTCCAGACCACCTGTGTACTTGGGTAACTGTTCCAGACCACCTGTGCTCTTGGGTAACTGTTCCAAACCACCTATGCACTTGGGTAACTGTTCCAGATCTCCTGTACACTTGGGTAACTGTTCCAGACCACCTGTGCACTTGGGTAACTGTTCCAGACCACCTGTACACTTGGGTAACTGTTCCAGACCACCTGTGTACTTGGGTAACTGTTCCAGACCACCTGTACACTTGGGTAACTGTTCCAGACCACCTGTGCACTTGGGTAACTGTTCCAGACCTCCTGTATACTTGGGTAACTGTTCCAGACCACCTGTGTACTTGGGTAACTTTTCCAGACCACCTGTGTACTTGGGTAACTGTTCCAGACCACCTGTACACTTGGGTAACTGTTCCAGACCTCCTGTGCACTTGGGTAACTGTTCCAGACCAGCTGTACACTTGGGTAACTGTTCCAGACCACCTGTGCACTTGGGTAACTGTTCCAGACCTCCTGTGTACTTGGGTAACTGTTCCAGACCACCTGTACACTTGGGTAACTGTTCCAGACCACCTGTGCACTCGGGTAACTGTTCCAGACCACCTGTGTACTTGGGTAACTGTTCCAGACCACCTGTACACTTGGGTAACTGTTCCAGACCACCTGTGTACTTGGGTAACTGTTCAGCCCTGTTCATGTTGGCATCATCATTATCAGATCAGATGATCAATAGTAATCTCCGTGGAGATGATTCACAAAGGAATTTCATCCAGAAAAAGATTAATGTGATTGCCAGACATGTGGAGGTACTGGAGCAAAGGTGTCTCTCCTGGAGGTGTTACCGGAGCCTGACCTCTCTGGACCCACGCCGGAAGGGCTACACACACGATCATCTATTAACTAAAGTCATTTAGAGTATATGGTATGTTATCCTCTCTCGAGTGTAAGTCCATATACACAGCCTTAACACTCCAGGGGCCAGATTCAAGAAAGCACTTACGCAAACACTTACGAACCTGTACATCTTTTCTCAATCTTTGGCGACTTTGTTTCCAATTATTCAACAGTTAATGAGTTCCGAAGTATCAGGAGACTGTTTATAACAATAACATCAGTTGAATGGAAAGTTTTCATGCTTGTAATCTGTTTAATAATTGTAACCATAGCCGTCAAAGATTGAGGAAAGATGTACACGTTCGTAAGTGCTTGCGTAAGTGCTTTCGTGAATCTGGCCCCAGGCTAACATGTACTCTGAACTAGTCATATTAGCGCCGTGAAGGTGTGAATATTAATCCCGTCAGGGGCAAAACATTCACCAAACAGTACATCGCATTTTGACGTATTATTTCCCTAAGGCCAAAAATTTATTTCCCTAAGGCCAAAAAATTGGTCCTCAGGTTGGTTAGGTTCAGGCACTTCAGAACAACAGGTTAGGGACGTTGGGAACGTTTGGGGGAACGGAATGCACGGACACTAATACATTGTCGAACATATAAACACTTGTTACTGGTGTGATGTGTTGTTTAGTTACGTCTATGTAATTGTTTATATCAACATTACCACGTGTTAATGTTTACCTCAACATTATTATGTATTAATATTTATTTCAGCATTGCCAAGTGTTAGTGTTTACATCAACACTCCTACATCTTAATGTTTACATCAACACTCCTATGTGTTAATGTTTACATCAACACTCCTACATGTTAATGTTTACATCAACACTCCTACATCTTAATGTTTACATCAACACTCCTACATCTTAATGTTTACATCAACACTCCTATGTGTTAATGTTTACATCAACACTCCTACATCTTAATGTTTACATCAACACTCCTATGTGTTAGTGTTTACATCAACACTCCTACATGTTAATGTTTACATCAACACTCCTACATCTTAATGTTTACATCAACACTCCTACATCTTAATGTTTACATCAACACTCCTACATCTTAATGTTTACATCAACACTCCTACATGTTAATGTTTACATCAACACTCCTACATGTTAATGTTTACATCAACACTCCTACATGTTAATGTTTACATCAACACTC